GTGACTAGTTATTTATGTACGAATCACAATTTGATACTGGTTTACTGTAAATAATTGTTTTCGAAAAGGTTTCTTTTTTTAATAAAATCATTGATTTTTATAAGTATATATGTTGAATCTTATTTTTTAAAGGTCACAAGAATTCTCTTTCATCCACTAAATTCTGTATAATTTTTATTAACTTCTTTTAATTGATAAAGCTAGAATTTATAATTCTCACTAGCTTTTAAAAAATAAAAAAGAGAATTATTGGTGCCCAACATTTCCTAGAAAGATTACTACCCTTAAAATTGTCTAAGAGGAAGAGGAAGAGGAAGAGGAATAGTAAATTCTTTGATAAACAAACTACCAATTGAATTACATATTCCTGGGTATTCCTACTGTGGTCCTGGGACTCAACTTGATAAGAGATTACAAAGAGGTGATAAAGGCATAAACCAATTAGACGCTGCTTGCAAAGATCACGATATTGCATATTCACAAAGTAAAGATCTCATTACTAGACACCAAGCCGATAAGATATTACAACATAGAGCTTGGGAGAGGGCTAATTCGAAAGACGCTAAATTAGGAGAAAAAACAGCGGCTTGGTTTGTAACAACGGCGATGAAAGGTAAACGCAAACTTGGAATGGGTATAAAAAAACGAGCAAGAAAAACTAAAAAGAGAATTATTCGAGTACCGAAAATAGGTGGATTTTTACCTTTACTACTTCCTCTTTTATCAGCTTTAGGAGCTGTCGGAGGTATGGGTGCTGGTATTGCAAAAGCAGTAAACGATGCTAAAGCTAACCGCATACAACTGGAAGAACAGAAACGGCATAATTTAGCTATGGAAAAGAAAGGCCAGGGTTTAAGTCGTAAAAAAAAGGGGAAGGGTTTATATTTAAGACCATATAAAGGATATGGTATCATGTCAAAAAACTAATACTACCACAACGAGCGCTTACCGATTTAGATTTAAAAAAATTTGCTAAAATATTGCAGATTCCTCATTTTAGAGGAGTGTTTATGAGAGATTCTTTACCTCGTACAATCCATAAAAAAGAGAGCGGTATTATAAATATGGATTCAAATATAGGACCTGGGACACATTGGACCGCATATACGAAACAAAATAAGGATGTTGTATACTTTGATAGTTATGGAAACTTAGCCCCACCATTGGAGCTGATTAAATATTTCAATAGCAATGGGGATGTAAATATAATTTATAACTATGATAGAGTTCAAAGAAATTCTTACAAGTGCGGCCATTATTGTTTGATTTTTCTATATAATCAATATAATTGAAAAAAGTTTTCATTCTGAGACATTTCTTTGTTGTGTAAATATGTCTTTTTCATTTACTTTAAGTGGTAACTCTTCAATTTTAAGTTATGATTTTAACCCTCCAATATATTTAGATGAAAATACAGATTATGAAATAGGATTAGTCAGTTTCAATAGTTTTAACACAATTCCAAATATTGATGAAAGCAATAATTTATTTGTATGGGGTGATAAAAATAAGCTAAATGAATTTAAAGTACCGGTTGGTGCTTATGAGTTAGATGATCTTATAAGTGTTTTAAAGAAATATATGAATGATAAAGATAAAAATGCTAAAATAGATATAATACCGGACATAAATACTTCAAAAATTTCTATTTCAAGTAATCGTATTATTTCTTTTAATAATGCAAATTCAATCGCACAAGTGTTTGGTTTTGATGTCCAAAGGCTTGATCCTGGTAAAACTTATTCATCAAATCATCCAGTTAAAATTTTGAAAGTAAATTCTATAGGTATTGACTGTAGTATTGCGGCTGGTTCCTATTTAAATGGGAACCCTGTTCATATTATCCACCAATTTTTTCCGACAGTACCCAGCGGGTATAAAATAGTGGAATCTCCTCAAAATATCTTGTATTATCCTGTCAGTGTCAAGACAATCAACAACATTACAGTAAAGATTATTGACCAGAGCGGTGGTCTCATAAATTTTCGAGAAGAAGAGATTACGGTTACCCTTCACATTAGAAAAGTATAAAATGGTTCTATCATTTTTTCATCCACTTAAAAACTATAAAAGATTGTCCCTCCAGAACAGACAAATCAGTTTTGCAAAACCCTTTGCAATAATAACACCCATTAATAAATTTTTTTTAACTTCGTTTGGATTTAAAGTATTAATATAATGGAAGTACTTCATGTAACCGGGCAACCTTTTAATGATACAACTATAGATGATTATCAATTTCATACCTATCAACCCTTCATTACTGGAAAACTCAATTATAACGATGAAATTCGAATCCCCATTCAAGATTTAGATGCTTACACATTGCCATCAAAAAGTTATTTGTATATTGAAGGAAAGTTGCTTACTGATGCTGGAAAAGTACCAACTAAACTACAATTTATTAACAATGCCATAGCATTTTTGTTTCGTGAACTCTGTTATGAGCTAAACAGTGTCGTAATAGATTCTGTAAGAGATGTAGGTTTTGTATCGACCATGAAAAATTATTTGAGTCTTAATGAAAACGAAAGTGTACTAATGCAAAATGCTGGGTGGTTCCCTAAGGAAATTAAAAAACTTGCGACAGATTCTAAAGGTGTTGTAACAGTAGAGACAGAAAAAATTTTAGTTGATAAAGATGGAAACTTTAATGTTTGCATTCCCTTAAAAATGTTATCAGGTTTCTTTGAAGATTTTGGTAAAATAATTATGAATATGAAACAAGAATTAGTAATTATTCGTTCTAGTGATGATATTGATGCCATAATAAGTTCTGATGATTCTGAAAAACCAAATATCGAACTTCGTGCACTCTCCTGGCACGTACCACATGTCACCCCTAGTATTAGTCAACAACTTCGACTAAATAAAATTGTTCAGAGTAATAAAGAATTACCAATTAAATTCCGTTCTTGGCAATTGAATATGCTTCACTTAATAATTCCACTAGACATACTTGGGCTGTTAAAAGAAGTACAAAAATAGAAACTGCTAGGCATATAATTATTGGATTTCAAAAAAATAAAAAAGGTCAAATTAAACAGGATATGAGTAAATTTGATCATTGTAAACTCAACAACATCCGAGTATTTCTAAATTCGGATAGATATCCATACCACGATTTAAATTTAGATTTTACCAATAATAAATATGCCACATTATATGATATGTTTGCAAACTTTCAGGAAAGTTATTATCACTTTAATTTAAATCAACCAATATTTAATCCACAAGAGTTTAAAGAAAAAGCACCCTTAGTACATATCGATTGTTCAAGACAAAAAGAAGTGATTCAATCCGGAAGCATTGTTCTTAGAATTGAATTTGAAACTGATGAGCCCACGTCAACGGATATATCAGCGTTTTGTCTCATATTACACGAAAAAGAATTTTCATATAATCCTTTAACAAAAACCGTAAAGCAATATTAATGCGCATGTCTCAAACTTAATATAAAACACATCCTTCATAGTTAATAATTTCATTTAATATGTCCGAGTATGAAGAGAAACTTCAAATTTATTTAAAAAACTGCTAAAACTTAAAAGAGATATTGAATTGTACGAATTCGGAAAACTAAAAAAAGATATTGAATTGTACGAATTTGTAAAACTACTTGAAAAACTAAAAATATGAGACTCGTTGGATGTACAAGGATTTAAGCTAGAAAATATTAAATTTATTGTAAAAGAATTTGCTGCTTATGATGGTTTTCGCATAAGTCATTATGTATTCAAGCCACCCTTTCCTCTTAGAATGCTCTCTCCAGATTTACATAGGCAGGCTTTATGGTTAATGAAAAATCATCATTATATTAATTGGGAGGCAGGTTTTACTCCTGTACACCAATTTGGAAATATCTTACAATCTTTAACAAAAGGAGTTGATATGGTTTACGTCAAGGGTATGGAGAAAGCAAATTATATAAAAAAATATTCCCTAGTTCCAGTTTATGAGTTTGATGAGCAACCAGCACTTCAACCAATGAAGCCCAAATGTTTTTATCATAATAATATTAATTGTATTTGTGCTGTATCAAATGTTTTTTTTTTATATGAAAGTTTTATAATGGAATAAATTTGAAAAATTCTAAAATGTTTTATTTATAAATACACCTAACATTGGGTTTGCTTATCAGAACCAACATGTGCGCCGATGATTACTCACACCTATTGCAATTGTTTGATCATAGATTAGAGTCTTATGAAAATTGGACTGGTGATGTATCTCCAATAGATTTAGCATTAGCTGGATTCCACTACATGGGCAAAGAAGATGTAGTTAGATGTTTTAAATGTGATATTGAGGTTTACAAATGGAAATCAGATGATGTACCAATTCTCGATCACTTGAAATTTAGTCCAAATTGCAGCTATGCTAGAATGATGAAGTCATGTCTACCAGCAAAGAATATAATAAATACGTTTTTTGTAATAAGTGTTATACCATTAATATTTAGCATCATTTATTACGCTGTGTTAAAATATATATATATGCCCTTCACACTAACAAATAAAATCATTTACATCATGGGAGTGACACAGTCCATAATTTTACAAGCCATCCTAGGCAATTACCTCTTGATTCAACACCCTTTTAATACCAGAGAAGTGTATGTATGTTTTGATAGTAATGGGACAAGAGATGAGAGTTGGCCTTCTAAGTGGGTAAAAATGGAGACCTATACACCAAATAATGCTGCAACTCTAAAATCACAGATACCAACAAATAGTACAATGTATAAAGTACGTATTGTAAAAGGAAATGGATCAACTAAAGACTCTGAATGGTTATCTCTTTACAACAAAGACCCAAACAAATCTGAAAGCAGCAATACAAATGCATTATATATTACAATTTACTATATAGCTGTTTGTTCAACATTATCTGCTGCCGAATTACTTATAAGAATTATTCAAAACTATTTCTTTAATAAATGTTTTTAAATATTTTTTTTGTTTAATTAAAAATAAAAGATACTGGTATGTATAAAAATTTTATTGGGAAAATAATTCCAAATCAAAATCATTTACATAATTATCTAAATCGCTCACTTCTTCCATCGCCTGTATTAAATCATCCAGGGTTCCAGTCATTGCTTTTGGGTTGGTAAGTAGATGCCCCCATGCCAGAGTGTTTACATCATGTGGTATGACATATCTCTTATCATCTTTAGCTGAGAGGGCTACCTTGTTTCTTAGTTCTGTGTAGATTGTATGTAGTGATGATACAAAAATATACATTTTTCTAAAGATTGTATTACCATTTTGTATAATCCGGATGTAGTCGTTTACGTGAAGTTGATTTTTGATTATATTTTTCGAGACACCTTTAGCTTTCTTTATTTCTGTTTCCTTCTTAAAGGGTTTGCCTAGTTTTACACAATATGCCTTAGCTCCTGTACCATAAAATGCATCAACTATAGTACCAGCAAACTCGTCTTTCATTTTTCCAACGATAGAATTTGTTATAGGCATCCCATATTCATTATTTTTGGAAAAATTGGAAGTATCAAAATGGGTGATGTTTTGTTTCATATCATCATAAAAGTTACTAGTAAATACTTCTAAAATTAGGGAATCGGTGTCCGTATAACACAATTTTGCAGCATTGCCATATTTAGGTTTAATGTAGCCATATAAAAATTCGTATATAATGGTTTTTGAAATATCCAATACAGAAAATCCTATATACATAGGTTTGTCATAATATACTTTTACATTACCCAAATGTACTGCAACCAAGTTTTCATTGAATACGGAACATGTCTTAAATTCTGGTTTTGCTATTAGTGTTCTCGCACCTACGGACCCCTTTGTATTTTCCAATGGGTAGAAAGATGAATAGATTTTCTCTTCTCAACATTTTCCATGGTCTTTCCGAAGATTGCATTGACCAGCAGCTTAAAAAGATCTTTTTCGAAGTCATTCTTTGCTTGGTTTCGGAGGGTGGTATTCGATTCGATATATTTTTTCAGCCACGGCGACTGGGAATATTCTAAAATTCTATGAATTTTGGTTAATTTTAATCCATATTTGAGACATTGTTTCAAGTTCCGGTAGTGAATAATATATTTTTCTTTATGGCGTAAGTTTGGAATCAACTTTGGGTGTTTACCATTTAGTGGTATTATACTTTCAGGGCAGAAAGGTAGGTCGTTGTGGGCATCGTGCAAATTAGTTGGATATTCTAAATCCACTTCTAAAACATATCCTTTGGAGGCATCGTCTTTAACCGAATTACAATCGAAATTTTCCACTGGTATCCATTTAAATCCGCCAAATGGAAGGGACTCGCTCATTGCTGCGCCGTATAAATTGGTAGCATCGAGATACATGATATAACTTTCTGGTTTTGAGGGATTATAATTTGGTAGAAATTTATTATTAGCCATCGCTTGCCTCTTACTGCACTGTGCTACTCCTCCTCTGATCCCTTTTTAAAAAAGTGTAGCATGTCAATATCTGTCAGTAATTCAAGTTCTATTTGGGTATATTTTAGCATTGCATTCCAACTTAGGGAGGGTGCGGTCAAGTAATGAGCAGGATCAAGTTTATATTCTTTCAAACACACTTTTTTAAAGTTTTCGAACACATCTGCTAACAGAAGCACGTCAGTCTTTAATTATAGCATTGCATAATCGTTGAGTGTTTTACATTTAAAAGTATTCCATACTTCTTTGGCTCTATTATAATCTTCATCGGTGATTGGCTCGCCTTTCAAATTATCAAAAAATTTAGCTTTAGATGGTAGTTCCTCATCATCCAATTTTTAAAAAGAATCAACGTATGAATAAAGAAACACGCCCTTACGTCTCATTAAATTGAATTGTGTTTCGTTGGGGAAATATTTTCTAACTTCATCTAAAGAATCCAAAGTTTCACTGAGTTTATCAAGAGATCTTGCCAAAAATCTAAAAGAGTCTACAAATCTCAGTTTTATAAATGAATCACGAACTTTGGGATCATCAGATTTTTCAACCAAAATAGATTTGGAAAAAGAAATATATTTCTCCTTTGTTTGAGCTATTGCGGAGACAGATTCACCTTTTGTTGATAGTTCTTTAATAAACAAGTGGCAGTCGTAGTTGCTTAAATTATGGAAGAACACTGGTATACAATTTGGCACCTTATAATTCAAATTGCAGGAGTTATGGGCGGCATTCCTATATTTTCCCAGTAGATGGCAATGGTCCCGAACTTTTTTGTTGAATACATCAAAAGGTTTTTCACATATGTAACAGTTGGTCGCGTTATCATATGCTTCCTGTTCTTTGGGGGTAAGTTTTTGCATGACTTTTACATGCTTTAAATGGTTGTTATATAGGTTATGTACAGTCTCATCTAGTTTTTGCATAAACACTTTGCCCGCATTTGGTCCTTTATATATCTCAAGCTTAGATAAACTGTCATCGTAACTACATTTCAGGTAAAATGCAAAAGAATATGGCTCGTGCTCACAAACTTTGACACTGAATGATTTGCCATTAATAGGTTCACAATTGTCTATTGGTTTTAACAACGATTCAAAGTCTGCATAAATAACAAACGGCACTTGTAATTGTTTTTCAAAGTTAATAAATTTTAAAATATTTTCCGGGGTGATTTGTCCGCACTTATTTTTTTTCATTTCATTTGTTGGTAGTTGTGTGTATATATGTGTACAATCGTGTTCTTCATGTGCTTTTAACTTCTCCATATTTACATAAGATTGTAAGCAGCCATCACAAATATAAATTTTTCCCTTATATTTTGTTTTCTGACTTCTAACAAGTCGTGGCAAGTCTGTAATAAGGTTGTAATGATTGTTTCCATCACTATCTGATACTAGCAATAGATTCACGTGTGTAGGTTGTCGGTTGGAAGTGAAATGTAATGGACCAACAACTTCATAATTGTTTTTACCGTCTCGGAAAAATGATTCAAGTCCAAACACATTCACTGATATATTATTCATAAACTCGAATTTTTTAATGTCTTTTAATTTTACGGGGAAGTCGATACCTCTAAAGTCTAACATTTTATCATAATGTGGGTATGATGATGGATACTTGGGATTCCCCTCGGCAGGAAAAATTGCTGCATTAATGGACCAAGCGAAACAAGCGCTATCTTTGTTTTCAATATTCAAGACAGCATTTCTTTTCATTATTGTCACAGGTAGCTTGATATATGAAGAAGCTGCAATACTATTGAAACGGTTTATGTTCACATCTAAAAACATTATCTCCTGTAAACTCCAATTAGAATCTTTTTCTTGGAATTCGGAAGCTTGCATCATAAGTTCGGATTTAAATTCACCATATAGTTCTTCTAGATTAGACGCTGTGGTAACAATTTTGTTTGGAGAATTCATGGATTTGATATCACTCATTTCCTTATCAGGTTTAACATATATCCCAAATATTTCCATATTTATTTTTAAACTTATATGTTGTTGCAAATATTCACTGATTTTATTTATAACTTTTGGTTTGACTCCATTAAAAAAGTCATTGTAACTGATTTTATTTTCATCACTGCTGGAAAATCTGTATGAAGCAATCCTATTCTTGAAAGCATGAGTTAGTTTAGTAACACCACCTTCCAGTACTTCAATGCCTATTGGTCTTAGTCTCTTTTTCGGAATCGGACAAGCCGGTTTACGATCCACACAATTTTTGAGCTGATGTCGCTTCAAAGTATATGCGTTGGAAAATAATTTATTACACTTCTTACACTGCATGTTGTTAACTCGCCGTAAACTACGAAACTAGAAAACGCAATGAATGCGGAGTTCCTTAAATAGAAAGAGGTCACGTGACTGTCAGATAGTGGGATTGAATGGAGACAGCGAGAGTAGGATATCATTATTATAATTTACATGCCACGTATGGACACCAGATGTTGTCATGTGTTCGCCAGATGGCCGGGTGCAGGTGTTCGCGTGAGAACAGGATGTCTTTATCTTTCCCAGAGATATTAAATTACATATTATAACAGGATGTAGGTGTTCACCAGATGGTTTCCTCATTTTGCCTTCTCATAGGGTGTGCACATTTTGCCTTCTCATAGGGTTTGCACATTTTGCCTTCTCATAGGGTTTGCACATTTTGCCTTCTCATTTAACCTCTACTTGCGACATCAACAATCATTAATATAAATTAAAAATAACAGGGGACCTAATTTTCTTCCTTTGATGTGGTTAATTTCTTCTGATCAGGACAGCGATTCTTTTGTGCGAACTCGACACATTACATATAGAATAGAGAGAGACATTACATTAAAATCGCTGTCTGTCGATCAAAGATAGGAGTCTCGATAGGAGACGTACTTAAAGATGAGAATCCCACTACATATGTACATATTTAATTTTAATCTCTCTGATCTGATACTAAGATAATCTACATGCTACCCCAATGCATGCTTTATAGTATAGATATAAAAACCACCTTTATACCAATACTTTTTAATTTTTTTATCGAATGGTTTTGATCAACAGAATCAAGTTCATTTTAAAGAAATACAATTAATTTTTAATTGTACATATGGCGGGTTGTACAATAGGCAGTTAAAATGTAGACTTAGTTTAAACTGTGAACCTTGTTGTGTACTCATCGGTTATTGTTAAACATAGTTTTAAAAATGACATTTGTTTTTGAATATAACTAGTTAAAAATAAAACTCTTGTTAGTTAAAATATGTTTAGAATATTTTTTGTACAACCTGCCCATAATGTATTTTGTAAAAATCATAATATTCTTGCAAGGCAGTTGGAAAGCTTAGGGTTTGATCAGTCGCTGTTGAGATAATTTTAATCTTACCTAAATCATCGTTTTAATTATGTCTTTTACAATGGATTTTCATCTTCACCCCTCACAGCAACATCTGGAGTTCCACAGAGCTCCATTCTGGGGCCACTATAATTTGGTATATTTATAAATAACTTGGCAATAAATTTAACTTGCTGTTCGCTGCTGACTTAAAAATATTTACCTCAATCTCATCAATTCAAGACTTACTTTTTACAGACCCAACTTGGGAATCGTTGAAAATTGGTGTAATGAAAACAAGCTGTTTATGAATGTGTCTAAATGTAAAGTATGTTCCTATACTAGAAGTAATAACAAGGTGGAGTTTAATTATTTATTTAACAGCCTACCTTTATCGGACTTGTGCACAAATTGAAGATTAAGGTATATTATTCAACCAAAAAGTTACTTTTTCGGATTATATTGAAAATACCGTTGCTTCTGTGTTGAAAAGCTTAGGGTTCTTAATTCGTAATACTCGTTCTTTTACAAATTTTTAAAGCTTGGAGATCCTTACTTTTCTTTAGTTCGTTCCAGGCCAGAATATGCATCTCTTGTCTGGAACCTTATTTACAATATTCATAAAAGATCATTGGAAAATGTTCAGCGGCGATCTCTCAAGTACCTTTCTTTTAAAATAGATGAGCTGTATCCCATTCGAGGTATTGAAGAATCTCTACTTCTTTCGAAAATAGAAGGGTAGTTTCCAGTGTTACATTTGATGTACTATTTTTGATAAATTAAATAAATTTTAATGTTCCCCAAACAGCCATTAGATATCATAAAACATTTTATACAGCAAGTATTTGAACGAACTTGGGAAGAAATTCACCTATAACGCTAATGTGTTCAAATTTTAATTAATTTTGTTCTGATTGGGATATTTATTTCGACCATTAGTTGTACTAATTTGTAGCTAATGTATTTAGGATTCTTTCTTTTCTTTTTTTTTCTTGCTGTTGCTAAAATTATTTTCTGTCGAAATATTATGTTTAACATTTATTTCATGTATTTTGTTCTGTAAATGGATTAATTTGTTGGGCAATAAAATTATTTTTATTTTAATAAACAAAAAAATGTTTATTTTGATGCACCTACCACCTTTAAAAGTTTGTCAGTATATTAACGAGAAATCCTATATAATTCCCAAACAAAAATATTTTTGGAATAAATTCCGAATTCTATTTATTGATAATTCTTATTTTTTAGGTTCAATGACTCGAAACATGATGATCAGCTACACCAAGAATATCCTTGTTACTTAAAAAAAAATGGTACGAGATTAAGCAGATTTGATGCTATGTCACATTGTGGTGCGAAGACGTAGCTTGTATAAATTTGGGGTATCAGTTGATAGAAAACAGTACGAAAAAATAAATTTAAATCTGCAGATGCATCAGAGATAGCCATATTCCATACCACAATATGTCATGCGTGAACTCGATGAGATTTCATCGGCTATCATTCCTCTGTAATGCTTTGTATCATTAGGAACACGCAACATTGTAAACAATTATGACCAGGGTTTTCTGACCTTTTCCCTAGGTCAGAGAATAAATGAATACTAAATAATGTATAGTAATAAAGATTGAAAAAAAAAATATATATATATACTTTTAAGAGTTTTATTATGTCAGCCATAGTTTTATACCAAAAATGAAAATAAACTGAAATTATACATTAAAAATACATTCATAAATAACTATATTTATAACACTCATAGACTCTCTCCTGGCTAAAATATTGCTTATCTATCTATTAGGCTCTGTTCCGTCTATTTTTTGCCTTTAGCCTCCTTCTGACACTTCCATTCGTTCTTATTCAGTGTAGTATTCACATAGTTTTCAGAATATCAAGTGTTATACCTATCTGATGCTTGGTCCTGCAAAGTTCATCTTCAGTACACCTGCTTATGTGACATCTATCTCGATGTCAAGTTTGATTGAACACCCGTTTCTTGTCTATTACTCTTATACTTAACCAGAACTAGCTTAGACTTGACCGCATATGTCTAATTCGGCAAAAACACAGCCGTGGTACACAAATATCTATTTTACCGCTGGTTTCATTACAAAAAACTGGAGTAAAGGGTAAAATTATCTCTTGTCCAGTACACTCGTATAATACACGAGTATTAGCCTATATTATTTTTGATTAAAGACGTATACATTTAAAAATGTCGTTTACTTAAAAATAAACATTTAATTTTGATATTTTATTTAACTCGATCAAAGCATTAAATTATTATTTTCCATGGCTTATACCGGACCTGTATGTACTCTAATAGCCATGGAGTAGCTGACAGTGTTGCCGTCAGTTGCCGCCACATATTCATTAGTGACATACGTTTTATAAATTCATCGTGTTGCAAATTTGTTGACATAAAGAGATAGAAATTTAAAGTGACGTCTTTTATTACTTCGAATAAAAAAAATCGATAATGCAATTTTCTAACCTAAAAAAAATCGTGATTATATGTCAAACAAAATTGAACTTGGCCTTAATGTTAGTTGAAATTAAACTTTAGGTTCTTTCGTTCGTCCCACTGGTGTAGGAATGAACGTACACCAAACCTTTCGTTTGGCCCGGTGTAAAATCCACTATATCTTCTTGTCGGCGATGTGGTGTCCATTGGTGGATATTTTCTCCACCGGCTATTTAGCAGGAGTGAATTATACTCGACATGTATATAAGGAATAAGAAGGAAGTAAACTAAATAAATAAGGTGGTGTAATTGACACTGGTGCACACTGCACCAACAGCGAACGAAAGAACCTATTGTGTTCGATGAACCAAACCATAACCACATATTTATTTATTTTTATTAACTGTTCTACAGGAAATTCCCAATTAAAGAACAGGCAAGATATGACAAAACAAATATCTCAGAAAATACAATGTAAAAAATTACAAAACAAAAGAATAAAGATTTCAGAAAGAAAAAAAAAACTATTTAAAATGATAAAATAATCACAAAAGCAAATGTTTTATGTCCAAAATTCTAATGTTAAATATATCCAACTCAGAGTTAATGTAATGGAGATTTGCTTAAAATGTTGGTGCTAGGAGTGGTCAAGTAAAAAGTATCATTGCAATTAGAAGTTTGGCGGGGAATCCTAAAATTTAATATATGCAGCAGGTCTTTACCATTTCTTTTTGTTGGTTATGACTTTGTGCAGTCTAACCACTGAAAAATACTTGCGCCTTGCTTCAAGACTCGAATAACTATGTCTTACTAACAGTTCGTTATGTGGGGTGCCAATTGGTATTGCTAACTTTATCGGAGCATTTTTTATTATTGATGTAAGCTCAGAATTTATTGGAATTAATCGATATTTCTGATTCAGCTTTTTCAAGATATTGTTCATAGGCTCTATCATGTTAGCAAGTAGCCAGCCAGCAATAAATTCAGGTGGAGGCCAAAGCGCCAGCGGTCTTACTAAATCTTTAACATCTAATTATTTTAAATTTTGATATAAAGAATATATTAAATTATAATTTGTTGCAATTTATTTATGCCATTCGATAGATAATAAAAAAACAAACAACTTTTTCAAATACCATTTTAATATTAAATGCTATATGGGTTATAAGGGATTTTGAGATTTTGAAATTTCAGAGTTTTTATTGCTGAACCAAAATGTATTTTTTCAAAAATTTATTTAGGCCATTCGAAAGATAAATACCATTTTAAATGATATATGGGTAATAAGGGATGTAGAGAGCTTTGAAATTTCAGAGTTTTTATTGCTGAACCAAAATTTGTTTTTCCAAAAAAAAGTTGTTTGGTTTTTATTATCTATCAAATGGCCTAAATAAATAAAAAAAAAATTGTTTCAGCAATAGAAACTCTGAAATTTCAAAGTTCTCTAAATCCATTATTACACATATAACATTTAAAATGGTACTTAATAAAGTTGTTTTTTTTATTATCTTTCGAATAGCCTAAACAAATTTTCGA